CGCACGATGGACGCTAATGTTTTTGTCACTTTTTATGGAATCAAACTCAAAGTAAGGTCAGTACTTCCACGCTTTAAACGCTGCACGCTCATACTCTCTCCCACAATCGATATGTAATCCACTGTTGATCTGCACACAGCTGTTGTCACTAACGGCGCACTCGCTTACGTCACTGTCGTGAGACATTCTCGCAAAAAATCACGGTTTTAGTAACGCAGTAATGCAGCGTTCCTACGGGAAAGTAACGGTAATCTAATTACCGATTTTGCAATAGTAGTCCCTTACTTTACTCGTTACTTGAAAAAAGTAATCAGATTACAGTAACGCGTTACAAGTAACAAGTAAGTACTCCCGGAACTTCTCGGCCATGGCCCACTTGAGCGCAAGAAACTCCAGCTTCATGGAGCTATAATTGTCCATGTTGCGCTCATGTGGCCGAAGACCTCCACTGGCCTAACAACGCCTTCTACATCTTGGGAGAGAACTGCACCCAAACCACTGTGGCTGGCGTCACTCTCCAAGGTAAATGGGCGCGTAAAGTCAGCATATGCTAGCACAGGTGCAGACACAAGCTTTGCTTTCAGGGCCTCAAAGCTCTCCTCACACTGAGGGGTCCAAATAGCACTCAAACTCTGTCCCGAGCCCTTCTTTGTCTTTGTGCCAGCCGATTTAGCCACCACTTGATGCAGGGGAGCCGCAACGTGGCAAACCCCTCCACAAAGCGCCAGTAATAGCTGGCGAAACCCAAAAAGGATCGCAACTCTGACACGGAACGAGGACACTGCCACTTGGCTACTGCGTCAACCTTGGCTGGATCGGTGGAGACACCCTCACAGGAGATTACATGGCCCAAGTAGTTAACCTTCTGCTGGAAAAAGGCACACTTTTCTAACTTAGCCTTGAGCCCCTCTTGCTGTAGCCTTGCCATCACCATCTCTAGCCGTTGCAGGTGCTGAGAGACAGACAAGGAGAACACAATGATGTCGTCTAGGTACAGCAGTAGCGACTGGCACTGCTGATCCCCGAACATCCTCTGCATTAGGCGCTGGAAGGTACCAGGAGCATTGCACAGCCCGAACGGCATACGATTCCACTCGAACAGGCCAAACAGCGTGCAAAAAGCGGTCTTGGGCTTATCCTGCTCAGAAACTGGCACCTGGTTGTACCCGCTGGCCAGGTCGATGGTAGAAAACCAGAGTGCGCCAGCAAGGGCATCCAGACTTTCCTCGATGCGAGGTAAGGGGAAGGCGTCCTTCCTTGTTCTGCTATTCAGCAAACGATAGTCAACGCACAGACGGAGGCTTCCATCCTTCTTGCAGACCAACACGATGGGAGAGGCATAAGGACTGCTACTCTCCCTAATTACCTGGGCCTCCAGTAGCTGGTTAATATGGGCCCTGACAGCCTCATAATCAGAAGGAGGAAGTCGCCTGTACCTCTGCCGGACGGGTGCGTCATCGAGCAGCGGTATGTCATGCGAAATGAGGTTTGTGCAGCCCAAGTCTCCCTCATAAGTGGAGAAAACAGAGCGGTACTTCCGCAAAAGTAACCGTACCTCATGTTGCTCTGACTCAGCGAGAGCAGACAGGTCAATCGTATCCACCATCTCTTGAGCAGGGCTGCTGGTTGTATGGGAGGAAACGGTAACGGGAAAAGAGTGTTCCTCGCTAACACCAACAGGGAGGCTAACAACAGTAGCTTTGCTTATCACTCCCAAACGGGTTCGTGGGTGGAGGACAGCTTCAGCTGTTCCCACATTAGTGACTGGGATATAGGCAACGCCCTTATCCACCTGGACCAAACAGGGAGAGGCCAGCAACCCAACTGGCAGCCCGGACTCAGGAGGCTCAAAAAGCACAGACTGACCTGACAACTGCTGAGAACAGGTGGTGGCCACCAGCTGCATGACACCACCAGGTATCCGCACGGCCCGCGGGCCCTGTACCTTGATGGTACCGACAGGGTCCTCTGGGGCTTGGGCTGCAGACTGGTGACACTGATCTAAGGCCTCCAAAACTGGTCTCGGTGCCTGTGACACAGAAGGAGAATTAAACAAGGAGCCACCGAGAGCCCCAAACAGTTCTTGATAACAGCGGCGGATTACATTCATTCCTAAAATGCCAGGGACAGAGGGCGTAGCCCCAGGAGGGTCCTTCACTATAAGGATCCCACAAGAGGGCACACAGGAGTACACTGAGCTCCAAATAGCCAATGTAAGGGATGGCAAGCCCATTGGCAGCCCGAAGCTGTAACCAATGGCATGACTGAAGGCGTTCTTGTCCCCAAGGGGCAAAATGTGCCAAAAAGAAACTTTCTGTGAACCATGGACCCAGTATCCACCAAACAAGGGACAGTTACCCCACTAATCAGCACATCTATCTTTGGACACAATGAAATTAGCCTGCCAATCCTATCTTTCTGCGAGCCAGTGAACTCCCCACCTGAACTGTGACTCTGCAGCTCAGAGGGCTTTAGTTTTCCGACTGGGTAGCGGGAAGATGATTGCCAACTGTGGTATAGGGAGGGCCTAAATCAGAACCTGCTCTGGTGTGGCGTAAAGCCCGCTCCCCAGTGCACTCCCTAGCAAAGTGTCCTGGCTGCTGACACCGGCGACAAATCACCGAGCCAGCCCGTGAAGGCCGAACACCTCTTCGGGGGTTCTGTAAAGAAACCACTGTCTCAGTGAGCTGATTTAACTGCTCTTGTTGGGGCTTTAGGAGTTCCTTTAGGTCACGCCACTTTGACTCAGGTGTACCAACAGGAGCGAACCTAGGGCTGGTGTTCACTCCACACTGGAAACCATATGCTGATGGGTGAGAATAGCCACGGTCGCGAACACCGCCTGAAAACCCTTCTCTTTCCCATCTAATTGCTTCCCCGCGCACCTAAACAAGGTGGCAGTAGGCACACGGCGAACGTATTGTTTAAGCTCTCTGCGGAGAGCACTGTCAACAACATGTTCTACAAACTGGTCTCGGAGCAACACCTCTGCGTTACGCATGCCATCAGGTGCACTTTGTTTTACTTGCTCCACCAGAGCCATTAGCGCTAAGGAAAACTCCTGCAAAGTCTCTCCCTCCCGCTGTCTCCTCGAAAAGAAAGCCTGCTGCAGAGTGACATAGGACTGCGCATTACCATACAGTTCCTTTAAAATGGTCAACACCCAAGCAGGATCCCCTCGCTCTAAATTAGGGCGAAATTTGATCTCCTCCCTTGCTTCTCCCTCTAAATGGTCAAAAATAAAGAACGCTTGATCAGCAACAGACAGGTGCCGGGCACGCATGCACGCTTGAACCTTTTCGACCCATTCAGCTATATTGATGCCCGTTCTGCCATTGAACATGGGACATTTACGGTCCCTAGGCACCACCACCAAACGCTCTGTAACGGCGGCCTGGCTACCAATGTTTGGTATGCAATCAGCTGGTGCGAAGGAGGCCGACGCGGCACCACCACCAGACTCTAGCACAGCGCCCCTATCCCGGAGCAATTGCTCATTATCTGCCTTTAACTGCGCTACCAAGTCTCTAAGTTGCTGCAATTCTTCCTCTTCAGCCCGATCACAGAAGCGTGGGTACGAGCAACAGTCCAGAATAAAATAGAATAAAACCAGGCGAACCAGAAAAAGGTAAGCCTATGTAACAAGTGTCACCTGGCAGTTTGTTGCTCTCTGCCAGGTGATTGGCTGAAGAGCTGTGAAAAGGTAGTGTGTGGGGTGAAGTCAGCGCTCTTCTGTGAAAAAAACAGAGGCAATTAATTCACTCAGGTGCGAGTGGGTATACTGTCGGTAAGAGACTTTTGCCATTTTTGTTTGGATCGTTTACTATTGCATGTGCCTATTTTTAATGTGTCATTGGACTTTTTTTTAGTGTGACCACGAATTTTAATAGAAGAATTGATCAAGCCCTAGATCGACTGCGCGGAGGGAAACTGATCAATATTGTAGGTATATTGAGTGTTTGTTTTAGCTTCATGATTTTGAATGGTTTCATAAAATTGATATTTTATTGGGTAATATTTTAATTGATAATGTTGTTTGTTTTTCAGCTGTGCTGTCTCTGCTGTCCTTTTTTCGTTCTTTTGATTGATTTGTAATTTTGTTTTGGTTAGTCCGTCCAGCCGTAAAGGCGGTTATTGATTGAGAGTAAGTTGTGTAAGGGCGGACTAACCTCCCTTTTGTTTTTTTGTTTAATTGTTTGTGCCACTTCCCTTTATCTCCCAATCGCAGGCCATCCATAGTACTGATTCCCAGCTGCGCTGAGACCCGAATTGTTTGCAGTGTGTGCCACGATTGCAGTGTCGCTAAGCGGGGTGTGACGGGTTGCAGTGTTGTTATTTTCGCACAGCTTGTGTGGTAAGTCTCATGTGCAGCTGGCATATCAGCAGGATGTGTTGTAAGTCCTGTCTGGAAATGACATGATGGGAATTTGTATGTCTAACTCATGTAATAAATAAATGATCAATTTATTTCTTTGCCCCGGTTACTCATCTCTTGTCCTCTGTTACACCTACTTAATAAAAACAAGATAAGACAAACTAAAACAAGACAAGACGAGACAAGAAAAGACAGCAGGCTCAACCGAGGAGGAGTCCTCACAACAGCGGCTGGGAAGGCGTTCCACTCTTCCAATTTAGGTTGGGCAATTTGCCACGGAGAGGTGAATACAGCAGTCAAACCCTAAAACAGATAAATGTAACCTTAGACTCTTATAGCTATGAATGCTAATAAAAGTAGTTTTAATGGCTTACCCCAGGACCGGAGGTGCTATACTCTCAGCTGGTGGGGATAACACGAGCACCTCTTTCCGCAACGTCGGAATAAAACAAACTGCCGTGCTACAACAGGCCGCAAAAACTATATTAAGACAGATTCCAGTACTAGGAGGGAATCTAAGGTTAAGCGAGAGCATACCTGTAGCTGTCATATGATCCGCTCTTGCTGATCAGTCCGTCGCAGTGTGCCAGCATTTACTGCTGCTTTGCGCTGAATGCACAGGAGGAATGATCCAACAAAAACACCGGCTTAGCTTTATACGGGCTAACGCCACCCTGCAATCAATATGCAGGTGGGTTCCCAATTAACCTAGTTGTGCAGCGAAGAGAACGAGCGCAGGAGAGAGAGAGAAAAAGAAGGGCGAGTAGCCCATCTGGCTACACATATATACCACCAAAGCAGTGTACATCACTGTCACAACAGCGCTTCTTTTCATTCAAAGGCTTTATGATTTTTCCTATAATGGCGGGCTCTAGTCAAAATGCCCAGGCCGATTTTTTGTTCCAGTCCAGCCCTGTATGCAGCTCATCTGCAGTCTGGTGTTGCCTACATCTTCCTATTTGGAAGGCAGAATTTCTGAGTTCTGAGTATAATCGAAAGAACCACGACTGCAGTTTTCATGTTGGATGTAAAAAGCGCACGTGATGCTGTGACGTAGGCCAGGATCATGGCGGCGGTCAACGCTGGTCCAGGTGTGGGATTTCTCTCGTGGAAATATGCACATTATTTTTTCCTTTCTGTTGGTAGGTGGCACAGTGCACTTGTGGCAAGTAAGCAAGCTAGAAGACTGGCAATCTTGCTGGGCATCCATTTACAGAAGCAACACATTAACAAGAGAATTTTGAGTAAAACCCAAAGTTACTTTCCCTAGTAACTAGTTACTTTGAAAGTAATTAGTAACTTGAGGTAACTGAGTTACTTTTGATAGAACTAGTAATGTAACCAAGTTACTAATTTAAAGTAACTTACCCAACACTGGTTATACCCTTATGTGACTACTGTATAAATTTCTTATCTATGTTTGCAGATGCAAAATCCAATTTTTTTTCAGTTTTCTCATATTTGAATATCCTATGCCATATCTCTATGGGCACTTTTATTAGCACAGGGAACAGGTCTGCATCTATATGTCTTTTAATAAGTGGTTGATCTCCAAGCAGTGATTGAAGCGGTGTCTCACAGTAGGATTGACCCATCTCCTTCCATTTAGCCTCACACATTGGATCACACCACCCAATCATCACTCGTAACTGTGCAGCCCTGTAATAGTCCTCCAGACATGGCAGAGAGAATCCACCCTTGTCCTTTTGCAGTTGTAGTGGGTTCTAATGTTGTAATGAGGGTACATGTATAGGCAGCGGCTGAAACAAATAGAGAAGCTTTGACAAAAGATTAATTTTTATTATATCTGATTGTGCATATTCATTGGCAATAATGACCAGCGCTGTAGGTCTGCCTTAATTTCTGACGTCAGTGGGACATAATTGCATTCATAGAGATGGGATAAATCCGTGGGTATATGGATTCCTAGATATTTTATAGAGGTGTTTCTCCAGTTAAACTTGGCTATCTTTTGAATGTCTTGTGGTGGTTGGTAATTATATAAGAGAATCTGAGTCTTCTGTAAATTTAATTTATATCCGGATTATATGCCAAATGTTTTCAATAATGAAAGAAGATTAGGCAGACTGATTTCAGGGTTAGTTAGCGCTATGAGAACATCGTCAGCATACAGACTAACTTTATACATTATATCATTAATTATTACACCTGTCTTTAGATTCCCTGATAGCTTGCGCCAGAGGCTCAATGAATAGCGCAAAGAGAGTGGGACTGAGAGGGCATCCCTGGCGGGAGCCTCTCTCTGGTTGTTGTGTATCTGTTAAATCACCATTAATTTTAATCCTGGCAGTGGGCGAGTTGTATAGAGACTGTAAGCATCTGATGATTTGGCTGTTAAAACCAAATCTCTCTAAAACCAAATAAAGATAATTCCAGCAGACAGAGTCAAACGCCTTTTCAGCATCAAGACTGACAGCTACTGATTTGATATTTTTCCATTTTGTTTACTAGATGGAGAGCCCGCCTCACATTATCGTGAGTTTGCCTATTTCGAACAAAGCTTGTTTGATCCTTGTCCGTTAGTTCCGAAGTTGTAAATTCCAACCGTTTAGCTAATATTGGTCTGTAGGAACCACAATCTTTTTTATTTTTACCCCGTTTGGGAATTACTGAAATATCTGCTCGTTTCCAGGATTGTGGTATCTCCCCCCGTAAGCACATGGTTAAAGCAATCCCTAAGCAGAGGGGTTACTAGATCTCTGAAGTGTTTGTACCCCTCTGCTGGGTAGCCATCCTCACCTGGCCATGTTATTACCTTTCAATTTTGAAATGGCCTTGTTAATCTCCTCCACAGTTACTGTTTGTGTTAATCTTTTATTTTGTTTTGTTGCTATCGATAGTAAATCAAGGGAGGAAAGAAATGCATTCACAGAGGGCACATCTATCGTGGTTGGTTCTGCGTACAGTCGGGTATAATAGGTCACAAAAAATTCTTTTATGCTTTTCATGTCATGACATCTTATCATTTGCTGGGTTTTTAATTTTCTAAATAAATCTGACAGCGTGCTGTTTCTGTATCCTCCAAGCAAGTACCGCATTTCCCGGACTACAAAACGCACCTGAATATTAGCCGCACAAGCTAAAATCAGGGGAAAATCCTGTTTTGTACATACATTAGCCGCACCTGACTAAAAGCCGCAGGTGTTTCAATGTTGACTTATCATATGTAAGAGAATATGCACAAAGGGAATTGTCAGGAAAGAGATGGCCGTTTGGAGACACATCCCTTTTATTAATATTTTGAAAAACAAGTTACGGGTACATATTTGCATAACTTTTTAGGTATATGTAGAAGTACCAGTAATTACAAGTACGAAACATGTACTGTGCTTCATAAACGTGTAACAAATGTAGTACATAACAATAACCTACAGCACACCAGAAAAATAGATTCGGCCTACCTTTTAGGCTCAGGTGCAGTGACACGGCTTTAACAAGAAGAAAAGTCAGTCATTCACCACCATCTTTCTCTTCTTCCTGCACACTAAAAACCACCAAAGTCCTCTTCTCCAGTGTCGGATAGGAACAGGCTCAGGATGGCTTCGTCATCCACTCTCCGCTTCTCTCCTTTGTTGTCACTTTCAAAACCAAAGAAATCCTCGTTGTCAGTGTCAGAGTCGAACACCCTCTGAAGGGCCGTGGCGGTGTCCTCCTCTCCATCATGCAGCAGTCCAGCCCTCGAAATCTGTTGGTGATCGTGGATGTTTTTCACACTTTTCCACGCTGTCAGAATCCACTGACAGACTTGAGCATAACTTGCTTTTCGCAAGTTTATCGCCGCTCGTCATCCACGTCTCCCGCTGAACGCGTAGCGCTACTTTGAAGTTTGTTTTTCGCGCTACTTCGTACGGCACTACGTTGCCTGGGGGACAGACATGTGACAAACATACCACTCTTGAACCCCAAAACTGTTTGTCTGATCACATGCCCTTCCGCCAGGCAACGTAGTGCCGTACAACAGCGGAACAAACAAAACAAATCATCTTACAATATGACAAAAATCATGGACAATCCATAGAAAAGCCGCACCTGACTAAAAGCTGCAGGGTTCAAAGCTTGTGCAAATAGTAGCGGCTTATAGCCCGACAATTACGGTAGTTTCTTAGATTTTGTCACGGTGCGGCTGTGTGGCAGGCAGGATGTAGACCCAAATGCAGGACTCGAACTCAAAGGGTTAACTGAGAGAGGCTACTTTATTGCAGTAGAAAGATTTCCACAAAAACATAAACTTGCCAAGAACTAAACCACACTAGAAACTAAGAACTAATAACAAAAACTCCAGGAGCATGGAAGGAGGCACACAGCATGGTGAGGGGACGACACAACAGAGAACAAAGGAGAACACAGGGCTTATATACACAAGGGAGTAATCAGGGAATGGGAAACAGGAGGGAGACACAGGTGGGAGAAATTAGACTAACAAGACAGGGGAGAAATAAAACTGAACACACTGACATCAGACTGGGACTATCAAAATAAAACAGAAAACACGAAACAAATCACAAAGACGCAGACTTGACACTGACAGGCAGACTGAAAGAATATAATACATGGAACACGTGAGTGTGAATCCCTCCATAAGTCAACCAACACTAATTCCTTAAGCATTTCTTTTATATATACTGCTTCTGTTTGTGACAATTTAGTTTTGCTGGACATGTCCAAAAACGGATT